CACTCACAATTACACAAAGTCACGCCGGTTTATCTGATGAGTGTGTCCGGAGACAGATTGAGAGTGGGTGGGATAGCGAGTGCTGGAGGAGTAGAAGTATAGAATATCAAAACTGAACACACACTTACACACACACCTACACAACCAGGCTGTCACTCTGTCTGCCTGGTACCGCTCCTGGGTTCTTATCTCGAACTCTCTCTGGCAGCTTGTGATCTGATTGGTTATTCATATCACGCTGCCCGAAGCCTATCACATTATATTCAGTGATGTGCATTTCCATCCAATCAGGTTTCCCTTTGTGCTCCATGTGTGTTCAGATGCAAATCTATTCAATAGAGCACATTTTCATTTCCCATTGTGGGACTGTTGCAGAATTCATGAGCACAGAGACTAAAAGTGAGTTTTACAGCTGATAAATGCCAGTGATGACGCTGTGGTTGGCAGGGTATCTTAGGGTCAAGTCTCATTATAGTTTACCATAACTTCAGTGACCTTCCATTCACTATATCACTGTTTCCTAGTTACAGGATAGTGTGTGCAGTGGCACAAGAGCAGCAACTAGTGGGAATCTAGTGTGTTTTTCTGATTTATTTTTATCTATTTCTTTACAGGCAGGGTTACCATATGGCACAGACAGGCAATTAAAGGCAGTTGCCTGTAGCCCTTTAAGTCCCTTAATGTTCCCTTCACTGTCACACCAGTGTTGCACCAACATGAGAGGCATACAAATACAAGTACGGAGACTGAGCAGCAGGGAGGGGTGGATTCTATTTAGATCTTTTTTTTTTTGAAGTGTTCACTGACTTATTATTATTATTATTACAGACAACTTAAAAAAAAAAAGAAATGTCTGTTTTTTTAATTCCACACATTCCTGCCACCTACATCACCAGCAATGCACTGACATGGTGGAAACTCAGGCGTGTTGTACTACTTTAGCAGCGGCTAATGTAGCCTTCAGCCACTAGCCTCAAGCAGAGATGAGGAGCGGGCTACAGAGGTCTGCTAAGCTCACTTCTTTCTAATACCACACCCCCAGATTTGTTTTCATTTTCAAACTCGCAGTCTTCAACACCAACTGACAGCAATTTTGTTTTTAGTACCACGGCATTCCCTTTGCCTCACGCTACCTTAGAAAACTGACAAAAAGAGCGCTGGTATCAGAGCTGCACCTGCAGTTAAATAATACCTGCAAGTACAGGAATCGGTATTGGGGAAGAAAAGTTGGATGGGTGCCCTAGTACTCTCAGACAAATAAGAAGTGTCGATATAAAGTGTTTTTCTTGAAGCGGTCAGTTTCCTTCATTGCAGTTGCATGTTTTCACTAAAAGGCCTTTCCTTGAAGTTATTCTAGCAATATTAAGCCCTCTACCTCATCATTACACGGTGCACAAAGATCCTATTACATTTCAAGTATGTTTTACCCCCTAGACATAATGTGTAGTTTGATTGAATGCAAAATACTGAACTCACCCTCTTGACATAGCTCTGGATCACCTCTGGGTCAGCAGCCTGATGACCTGCCACGCATACATCTGTCTCCAGACGATGTCTTGCCCACCTCAGTTGGCTCTTCTCTGAACTGTAGGGTGAGAAATGAAAGTATTTAAACAAATATTCAGTTCAAAGCATCCATCGTATGTCATTTAGTTCAGTTCAATTCTGCTCCTATGAACCAGAAAATGTCAAACGTGATCGTACCGTTACAACATTACATTTCCTTTGGGTTTGCTTCTTGTCCATTATCACCAGAGCAGTTCCATCACCCAGTAACATTACAGTCTAAACGACATTGTGGCAGACATGCTCATTGACCCAGAATGATCACAGCAGAAACATTATGTCAGTTCTGGTACAGTCTGAATTTTCCATTTAAGGGAAGCACACATTCACCACCATCACAATAGACTTATTAGACAGAGAGAGGGACTGAATTTCCTTCTGCTCCCACTGCGAGACACGATCATAAAAGGAGTATTCAGATACGCCTCTTCAGATTTGGATTGAGGTCAGTGGGAAGGCCGTGGTAATATCTTGTGCGCTGAGGCGTGAGTGACATTCTCAGATAGATTTGAAACAGTAGATCTGTCAGATTTGGTTTCTTTCATTTTTAGGGTTTTTGATGAAAGGGCATGGCGGTGATGGGGAGATAAAAGGTGGAGTTAAAGGGGACAGAGGGGGGTGAGGAGGACAAAAGAGAGGGGAGAGGGGGGGGGGAGAGGGGGGGCGGCCATCACTGAAGAAAGCAGATGAAAGGATGGAGAGATGGTTTCTCTCTTTCAGCGTGCCGTTCCCCTCTGGCGAGCGCTGATGATGCAATCAGCCGTCTCCACGGTGACAGGTGCCAGGAAGCAGCAGGACCACTTGGCAGGAGGGGCATCAAAGGAGCAGCCCGGCACCTGCCTGTGCACTGGTGTGTGTGTGTGTGTGTGTGTGTGTGTGTGTGTGTGTCTCGATGTTTGTGTGTGAGTGAGTATACAATAAGCTATTCCTTGAGTTCCCATTACAAAGAGTACACTGAACACAGGAGGATGCCCCAAAACTGCAGGCTAAGCAAAATAATTATTTTAATTAAAAAGAGTAAGTGTATGGAAGGTATGTGACCATGGTTGTCTGAGTGACCACAGGGGGTCCCCATCTCTATACAATTCTTCATATCCTATATTTCTTCATCCAAATTATCCTAAAGTTCAGCAAGATGATGTCAGATATGTTGGAGAGAGTGTGGATCATTTCATGTATTGTAAATCACTCACATGCTGCTTGCATGGCTAAATGCTATTATGAGGAATTGAGGAAAGATAAGTATGACTGACTTATAAGAACTTCCTGTCTCTTGAAAACCTGATATGTGTCCTGAGACAAAACTGGGCCAAAAATGGAAAAAATGTACATTATTTAAGACCCAAATCAGAATGGAGCTACAACTGAATCTACCAACCGGACTTAGGAGGTCTCTGCATGGAGGTCTCTGCATGTAGGATATGGTTTCTGTTTGGAGCAAATCTGTCAGTAACTTCCACGATGAGATGCTGAGAATAAAGCTCAGCTTGCTTGCTGTACCAGAGCTGATAGCAGGGAGGAATGCAAATAATGATCTGCTCAAATATTTAAGATTATTAATTTTCACCAGAGAATAACTGGGTTACAGAAGAGATACACAGAGTGCAGTGTAGTCAAACAGTATAGTATAGTATCATGTATAGTCAAAAGGGAAAGAATTGGGATGGTGAGCTAAAGTTAGACATTTTTTGTGGCTGACTCATCTGCAATTAACTTCACATCAAGAGGAGGAGGTGAGGTGCAGAATCCTGCTCGTGGTAATGGGTCTCAGTTGGCTTCCATGTCAAAACAATGAAGTTGCAAAAGGCTGCTCCCTTTTAACTACTGTCGAAATCTGGCTGCAAATGAATCATGTCATTTGAATCAATCTGCTACATAAATCCTTAGAGTGAAAACTGTTTGTGTACCTTGGCGTCTCTCGGACCAGCACGGCCCGGTGCAGCTGGCGCTGGATGTGGGCGTGACTTGGGCCGCAGGGATGGACAAACGGGTGGACGGCGACCAGGACGAAACCCTGCGCGTAGAGTTCCCGGACCTGAACCGGTAGCTCTCTGACCGAGGAGAGACAAAGCACCGATGACACCGGCACCTCTGGAGGAACAGGTGAGAGGGGAGGGAAATGGTCAAATCATGGACATGACAGGTTGCAAAAGAGGCAGGAGAAAAATACTAGAGAGGAATTTAGAAGTGGAAAAAAAAAAAAAAGCTGGAACAATGAGGAAGAGGGAAGAAAAAAAGAGGGGGGGGGGGGGAGAAAAGAGGGAAAAGGGTGTGAAGAAACAAAGACAGAGCATGTTCTATTATGATAATTCCCGCTGAACAACAACACATGGCATCTTCACGCTAAATCTGAAACTAATTACACCAGAACTATTAGCCTCACTGTCACCGGCAGTCTGGCCTTTTGGAAAACACACATGCAAAGAGATACATGCAAATGCATGCTGGAAAGTGCGCTTTTTGAAACACACACTCATCCATATCACAGACACAGACTAACACATTTTTGCTTGCACTAACAGAGAGTTGAATACAGTCAAAAATGCACACACACATACACACACACACCAAAAGGTTGTAAAGACAATGCTATCACATTGCCTGCTTGGCTGTGTGGTATTAGCAGCAATCGCTAACACAGAGCCGGTTCTCCTTATAACACAATGGAGAAAAATAAAACCTTTACTTCAGTGGAAAAATGGTTGGAGGAGCTTATCGAATGGGAGCAAACTGTCACGGCAAATCCGCAAAGGGAGAGCGCAATGTTTGCGTGGACCGCCCTCTCAGGGTCGGTGCATTGTAGTGACGCTCCAGCTCTTTTCATGGGCTTTTAAGGGGACACGTGCATGGATGGCTGCGTGTTTCTGTATCGCTGAGTGAAGCCAGGTGTGTGAGAGAGAGAGAGAGAGAGAGGAGCGTGGAAAATGAGATGAGAGAGAAGTGAAGAAAAGGGAGACACAGAAAGAGAGAGGCAGTTAGCAGAGAGAGAGAGAGAGAGAGAGAGAGAGAGAGAGAGAGAGAGAGAGAAATGAGGTTTGTTTGTACCTGAATGCTTGTCATCCTCTCTCATTCAATCTCATTTGCATTGGTCTGGAGCAGAGAAAATAACCTGAATAAATTAACTAGACCCACACAAACACACAAACAACACACACTCACACAGAAAAAAAAAAAAAAAAGAAGATGTGCAAGCCATCTCATTTTCAATTTGTTCTCCATCATCTGGCGTGTTCACACATACACACACATGAGAGAAGCTGGCCAGCATGCAAGGGACACATGCATATGAATGCACATTCCCATCTCAGTGAAACAATGGGAGGAGAAAAAAAAAAACTCCCTGAGAAAATCCAACCATCACATCATCTTGGCACAACAGCCTGGAACCAGGAGGGACTTTCATCAAGCAAACACTTAAACGGGTGTCTGTGGGGACTTATCAAAAGCAGTACACTGATGATAGTGATAATAATAACAACTGGAGACTGGGGTGGGGTGGATAACAACGATCCTGTCACCGTAAACAGTCATTAGCCGTCATTAGCTGTGCACGGCTGGCACTCAGCCACCGACAAGACGCGGGCAAGGCATCGCAGCTAATTCAGGCAAGGCATACAGAAGTTATTAGGGTGTTATGCAGTGCTTTGGGCTGGAAAGCGACTTCATTTATACTGTCTGCCACAGTGGGATTTAAAGGGAGGCTGCAAATTCCGCCTCAGAATGGGAACATGGGAACAGCTCTGGGGCAGAAATGCCAGGTGGAGTTTTATAGTGGCAGCTAGTGAGGGCAGGGAGTGTTATGTGCAAAATGCATGCATGTTTAAGGGAGTTGGAGATGTGGGATGAGTTTTTGTGACTTTGAGGGTCGGAGAAGTTAAGAAGAAGTGGAAGTTGGCCTGTGTGTGTGTGAGAGAGAGAGGACATGAGTGGGAACATGCGTGTTCGAAAGGGAGATTCAGACACCCAAGGGCGCATTGTTTAACGGACACAAGACGCTGCCGAGCGGCTGTTAGGCTGCTGATCCCTCCTCTACTATTTCCGTCTCCACCCGGAGCTTTGACCACATGGCAGCCGTCGCGTGTGTCGTGAGCGACGCCTCACTTTTGACCCTGGATTTCACAAGCTGCATTCGGGGTGTGAGAGTCATCCCCTTCCTGCAGCCGCTTGAAAGGACTTATTAATTCCTTGTACAAAATCCCAGAATTTCTGATCTCAGTCAGCGTGCATGGGCCATCTTTCTTTTCGCCTGTGAAGAAAGAAAGAGTTTTTGCACTAAGCCTGCTAGGTGATGCATGGGGATTACTCACAGCCATCCTAGAGGCTTATCCCTATGCTTGCTGGAGGTTCACATTGATTTAAATAGCCTTCTAATGACTTGCAGAGTTTTTTAGGCGAGGATATGTGCCAAAACAGTGACTATAAAATAACCAGCTTCCTGGAGCCAGGAGCTCCCCACTGCTTTTGGGAATGCACCCACGGGTTGTTGGTCAGCGTCTGAGCTTTGTCAAAATGGGGTCTGATCAGAAGGCCCGCTTCACAGGATATGTCTGACAAGACTGGCTTGCAAGTACAGTACAAGCAGTGTGGCACTTCAGGCGCATACAGTACCATGAACGTGTGATGCTGCGAATCTCTCTGCCATCTTTGCTTTTCTCTCAAGCCAATAAGACTGAAACTGCGTATAGGAATTATCAAGAAAAATGGTTTGAAGTCAGATCAACAGTTTCAACAATTTTTCAGAGAAAAAAAAAATGAGTATGCCTGGAAAAGTGTGTCAGGCAGCAAAGATCTCGCAAACTGATGGATGTGTGCTTCGCCTGCTCTCTGAGCCAAATACTTCACACAGATTCTGAGAGCAAAGATTAACCACATAAGGCAGAGGGAAAGTATATCGGTCTTTGTCAGCAGAGGAGCTATTTAGAAGAGCATTCGAGTGTTGATACACATGAGCACAGACTGTACTGTACACCTCCAGTCACAATAACCTTTTCCCACAGGTATACAGTAGCAAACAGCCACGCAAACACACACATGCCCACACACACACACACACACTGCTGAGCATTAGGCACATGTTGTAAGTTTTAATGAGCCGAGTGGGTCTCCGTCTCTGCAGGGCGGCAGAAAGTCATCAGCGGCGTTCACCTCCTCGCTGTCTGCTGCAGAGACCAGCGTTAGTCACGCAGCATCACACCTAACTTACTTCCTCACACATCCTCACGACTCCTGACTCCCGCTCGCTCGTTCTCACACCTCCTCGCTCTCGAGACACTCCGCTTCGCTCCTCGCTCCAGACCTGACTAACGCTCGCTGGTATCTCTGGGTTTCATGCACCGTTCGTTCTTTCACCTTCTGTTACAACTCCGTGACTTTATTTTCCCTCCCTTCTACTTTGCTCTACCCCTTTTCCGTTCATGCTATCGGCCTCCTGCGTTTCTTCTGCTCATTATCGGCGCACAGCTTCGCGGCACAAAGGAGGGTTAAAATGTCACACCTGGCTGTTACACTTCTCTACATTCATGTCAAGGTAACCAATTAGTTTTAAAATGGGAATGATGAAGATCATGGAACTTACTGTAAAGGTGTCACGATGCAGCAGATTGGTGATTAGAGACTAATTAGACAATTCTTTGGAATAAGACATTGGTTTGGAGCTGAAAATCAAATAAATGGTCCATGTGAGAAGCGAAGGCCAAATGCCAGAAATATCGAACATATTTTTTCTCATCCTCCCCGTATTCACCACAGGGTCGCTCTGACCCAGAGTCAGTAAGTTGGGCTTAGTCACACGGAAATATCTTTCAGCTAAAGCACTGCTGCAGTTAGAGCAGCGCTCATAAAACGAAGGCTGATGCTTTATTATCAGCGACACCGTTTCTGGTTTCATTTCTCGCAAGTCAAAGGTCACATGGTTACAAACCACACTGGACTCCTCTTCATTCTCAACATTAAGCTCCTCTTCCTGAGAACACAACTGAGTTTAATAAACAGCCACCTAGTCTCACATATCTCAGAGGGGCACCGGGAAAAATATATTTGTTTTTCATTACTGTGTAGGAGTCGTCAAGTCACGCTGGCAGGGAAATAATATCGCTAATGGAAGCCAAATTGAATTAAAGCATGGATTTGACCGTGGGTTTCCTCAATGTCATGGACTGACATACAGATTCTGCTATCTGTCTCCTACACACACACACACACACACACACACACACACACACACACACACACACACACACACACACACACACACACACACACACACGGACACATGGACACACGGACACACACACAAATACAAATAAATCCCTTTGCTGGGAATGAGGTCTCTCAATCTCCACAAACAATCAGATAATCCTTCAGGAATCCTTCACTTCTCTTGGTCTCTCGATCACAAATGGAGAGCGAGAGCGAGAGAGAGAGAGAGAGAGAGAGAGAGAGAGAGAGAGAGAGAGAGGCATACACCCACCCACTTACACACACATACGAACACACACAATCAATTCACAGTAGCTGTGTTTATCCTAAAATAGAGTATACCCATCTTAAGCAGCTCAGGTGGCGTCAGTGAGTTTTACCATATAAATGACCTGCCTGTCGGTTGAAAGATAACACTAACTCTGTTGACTAAGAGCTAAGTGTTTTATGTGATCGTGAATGAGCCGCCATCGCTGTGTGTGTGTGTGTGTGTGTGTGTGTGTGGTCTTTCTCTATCTACAGTATGTGTGTGTGTGCCGCTGCTGCCCGTGCGATTAGACAATTGATCTGCTCCTGCCTTTAGCAAAGGGAAAGACGAGCAATCCTCATGTCTATTGTCTGTTTTGGTCACCAGCACCATTTCGAGTTGCCAGATCTCTCTCAGCCAACACTACAGCCTCACCAATTTGCCAAACATAATAGGGCTGGCAGAAAATGAAGCCGACTGGCAAGCAGACCATTGCCACTTGGCTGTGGCATTCTGCCTGCTGTCTTCTGTTACACTGGTGCATTTGGAAACTCCTCTACAAAATAAAGGACTTCAGTGAGCTACTTGCACCTGCTTCAGCTCGTCGGGTGATGGAGAGCACAGAGTAGACTTGTAGCAACATTAAGCCATGAGGGAAAATGGGTGATTTTTTTTTTTAATCCGCTTTAACACTATCTGTTTCTCCTCCTCGCCTCTCTTCTCCCTCGCTCCGTCCCTCCCCTTCTATCTCTTCACAGTCCACACCAACACAATAGTAGAATTGGTATTTTTAGAAACGAGATGCCTCTGGAGGATTCTCATCAAACATTCTCAAGACGCCGCAAGCATGCACGCACACGCACACACAAACAAACACACACCCACCCACATGATATCAGACACATTATTTTCCATATTCACAAAAACACACACACGGTTCAAAGTAACACACATCAGGTTTAGTGTGTTGTCATTGTGCGATGGGAGAGGCAGGGGGAAGTTGGAGGGCATGGCTTTAGCGTGCACAATATAGCTGAGTCGGAGATTTGGAGAAGTCTTTGAACTCTCTGCAACAGGAGCCGCACAAAGACACAACTTCAGCTTATAAGCCACTTTTTGCCCTCAAGATACTTACGGTATGAAAAACACACACACACACACAGTTCCGCAGAGTTGCTGACCTAAACATTTAATTTTAACTGGTTAAAGTTGGAACAGCAACTGTGGCTATTTTATGAGTGGAACACACAAACACTCGGAGTTCAGGATGACGACGCAGAGCTTAACACGAAAACTGAAGTGGACAACCACACTTCAAAAAAGAACAAGGTGCTCAGTGAAAACAATTCCTTTGAATTACGGCCAAATGTGAAGACACATTCCTCGGAGCTAGAGTGGAACTGGGGAAAATGTGAATCAGCTCTGCTGCAATTTGTTGCTTTTCATTTGAGCTGTTTCTGAAATCGCCTCCTCTATCGCTCACTCATTCACTGTTCACTGCAGTACATAACAAAACATCAGGAAGGTACTGCACTGTGACGGGTTTCAGACGCCAATGAATCATCATCATTTTGTCATCTTAGGAGCACTGCATTGTGGGATTCTTTTGCATAATAACAGCATATAAGATATGGATGCTACAATATTTGTTTAATTGTTAATTAATTTGCCAGGACGGCTTTGGTTTCACTTTGCCAAGATCATCCGTGTTATCATCAATCATCTGAGACATGGAGGGAATATGATAAAACATTAAGTTCACGTCTCACTGGGTTTCAAGAGCCCAGCCCAAAAAGGACAAAGCAAAAACTGCACATAAATGGGGAAATGCACCCTTTTAAATGCTCACAGGAGAACAGTTATACAGAAAGGATTGACATTACATGGATAATCTTATCCATACCTTCTTTCCCCAACAGGAAATCCAGGAAGTGGTAGGTGTATGCCACGCCCACTTTAGTCTCCACCTGTGGCCGTCGAAGGGTGGAGTATATATTGCCCGGGCTTCGCCTCTCTTCTGCCTTCCGCAACTTAGGAAGCCTACACCCCATGTCTCTGTGAGAGAGGAGGGGAGGGGAGAGGAGAGAAGAGAAGAGAGGAGAAGAGAGGAGGGAAGAGGAGAGGAGAGGAGAGGAGAAGAGAAGAGAAGAGAGGAGAAGAGAGGAGGGAAGAGAAGAGAAGAGAGGAGGGAAGAGGAGAAGAGAAGAGAAGAGAAGAGAGGAGAAGAGAAGAGGGAAGAGAAGAGAAGAGAGGAGGGAAGAGGAGAGGAGAGGAGAAGAGAAGAGAAGAGAGGAGGGAAGAGGAGAGGAGAGGAAAAAAGATTTGAGATGAAAAGACAAAAACAGAGGAGGGTGCTAACAAAGACTCGAGTGGCAGACGATGAAATTGATAGTTTCTAAATATACACAACACATTAACACTTCCAATAGTGTGTGTGTGATAATCACACACAGGTCTGAATGTTATTGCTCACGTGCAAACTCAAGCTGTGGGAAATAATGTGTGTATCTAACTCTCTCTCTCACACACACACACACACACACACACACACATGCTGCAATAAAACTGAAATATGAAAGTGTCAGCCATTACCTGCTTGGTGGGCTGTGATACGGGCATCTCCTAATCAAATAGGGCTGATTGGGAGCGACATGTTTGATCAGAACAAATTAAAGCAGAAATGAGACTGATTTCCTGCCCTGTCAAGCAAAGCGACATGAGACTAGATAGACGGGGAGAGGAGCGGAGAGACACTAAACATGTTTTACTGCTAACCCATTTATATGTTGATCCAAGGGTGGCCTTGAAGCCCAAAGAAATCTATGTTATTGTAAGACTATTGTTCAGACTGTGTAAGGACCGGTAGGTAAACCTCAAGGGTAGCTGATTGAAAACACAATTTGGAGAGTCCTTGAAATTTCCTTCCTCCTGAATTTCAACAGGCAATTTACACCCAAATATTTGAGCTGCATAGAAAGAAAAACAAGAAGTGGAGCGGTGGTTTTGGAGACATATTAGTTGGGTTGGAATGACAAATGGGTGGAGGGTAGAAAGGAGAGGAGGAGGGGTAAAGGACAAGAGAAAAAAAAGGGCGAAATATTGTCAAGCTAATCAGATGTGACAGCGTCGGCACCCTCAAACCATCACCACACTTGCGCCTAATATCCCCGTCTGTCACGGCTTGTAAGAGCCACGCAGTGAGGTGCGCATCTGCATGTCTGTTAGTGCGAGTGTGTGTGCCTATGTCTTCCCCGGAGGCAGGTCTATATCTGCATCTCTGGATCTGTTTAGGGAGCATGGAGAATGCCACAGTACTGTAACTCCCATTGGGCCAAGTGCACAGACATTAACTCGGCTAACGATCCTAACAGACAGACATTAAGCCTGGTGTGTAAGTGCGTGTGTGTGTGTGTGTGTGTACGTTTGGTGACTTACAGCTTTGATTGCATGTTTCGTGCATTTCGAAAGGTTACAAAGGGCAGCATCTACGATACATTTTCATACCTCATCTGTCTTGAGACAGTACATTCTGTCTTTTTAAATGTTGCAAAGAACAAGCAATTAAGAGTCATTATTCTTTCAATACTGCGTCCTAATCAAGGATGGCGGACAGAAGCAGAGCAGAGGCCGAAGACAAAGAGGTTATCTAAGATAATTCCTTCCACCACCCTCCTCCTCCTCTCTCCTCTTGACCTGTCTGCCCCCCCCTCTTAAACTCTCACACCATTAGCTCTTCAATGTGTCATCACTCAATTCCCTGCTCTTGTATGACCCATGCCTTAATCACCTCTTTGTCTTCGGCCTCTGCTCTGCTTCTGTCCGCCATCCTTGATTAGGACAGCTCCCTTCTTTCTACCGGTACAATGGCCTTGATTAGTCCGACAGTAATCAAGTCAGTTCTGTCATTCTCTCTTTTTTTTTCCGTCCAACTCCCAACCTTCCCTATTTCATGATCAGTTAATCTTGACTTTTACTTGCACTCTCATCTCTCCAATTGTATTCCCTCAACTTCCCCCCCAGTCTTGCCTCTTTAATCCCTTTCCCCAAACTGTACTCTCGTGATTCTGTCTTTTAATTCATCACCGTCGCAAAGTCCATTTCTACCTTCCTCGATCCTCCCCGTCTTTACATTATACTGTTACATTATAACCCTCCACACTCACTCCCGGCCCGTCAACCCTCTCCATCCTCCCCGCTGTCTATCCAGTCCTTCTGTCTGAGGGCACAAATTCGCAGCCAAAGTGCTCCCCTGCCGAGCCTAAAACTATTACAGTTTCCAGACAGACAGCCGGCCTAGGTTATGGGTTATGACTAAGTTGGAGCACGCAGATCCACTCCCAAATATTTTCCCTCCAGGGCTGTGCTTTAATACGCTCTGTCTGCAAGAGGACAAGGGGCCGATTGATGTGGGGATGTTCAGCTGACTTAATCTTTGGCTGGTTAAGCAAAAAGGGGGTCAAGGGTGGAGCATAGGATGGAGGAAAAGATGATAATGATGATGGCTATTTGACAATGGGGATGTGAAGAGCAGCATATAGGGAAAGACAGGAATGTCTGTGGAGAATTATTTGCATCAGCGAGTCTTTCCTTCGTTCCACTTTCTCAGCTCTCATATTATAAAACACGTTCTACCCTACCCCAATGCAAATTATCTCAATTTTTAAAAATGTCTTTATACATAATGCAGTGCTAAAAAAAAAATCAAAACAATTTTAAATAACTCGCTTACTATTTTGCCAGTAGCAGGTGTTTTTATTGCTCTCAAATAAAACCTGATTGGTTTTTAGTCTTGGTCTTAGCCTACAGCTCCACTGTTTGATCCAACATCTCATCATCCTTAATACTGTACGCTGACGGTTCTGTTTTGAAAGAAAAGGCCTCAGTTTAAACGCTGAACTCTGTCTGCTCGGTTTAGAAACAGATCTCTGTAATTGGACTCAACACAGAATACACAACAAAGGTGGTTGTAGTACCGGATAGACTCCGGTGCCTTCGAGACTCAAGGCCTTTTTTCGCAACACACGAGACCTTTTTCTCTATATGTTGACTTCAAACAGAATCTCTCACTTGCCCTGACACAAACACACAGACAGAAAAAGGCCTTGACAGCAAAAACATCAATTTAACGGGGAGAGAGACGGGAGGGAGAGAGACGGATAAAAGAAACGAGAGAGAGAATGGAGTGAAGAGGAAGATAGACAGGGAGAAGCAGAGGGCTTCTCATTAGAGAATCTCTTGTAACCGAGCGTTTTGAAATGACAGCGGATTTACGCAAGAGCATAATCCGTCTGCGCTTTGCCACTGCTGCTACCTCCCGCGCCACTCGTGGGGGTGGGGGTCTTCTTTCCAAGGGGCAGCATTCATCCGCTGCAGAGGGAGACTTGCAGACACGCACAGGCTTGGGGAAATTAACAGTAACTATGTGTGGGCTACAATTCACATTTTTAGTCTCTTCTGTCTGAAAACTCTATTGTCCTAGAAATAGTTTTCATATCTATAATGTGCTGTATATGATGAATATATATTTAAACCCACTTATCATAATCTACTACTACACTGACTAGCTACAGGTAGCAACAGCTGTTATGATGAGAAATAAGCAAGCAATAATGACACGGTTTCTAAATGACCTAAAACATATCTCAATTTTTCTGTACTGCAATGTCTTGTTATGTATAAGCCGCTGTATACACCCATATTTAAAATCTGCAGTAAGCCAATAATAGGCCAATATACTGGCCGATTTAACGGTATAGCTAGTCCCAATATAATATTTTTATCTGCCAGCCAATCAGTATCTTCTGTGGTCACGGTAGAAGTGTGGTAATGCACTTTGAAGCATCCCCATAATGGTGAGCTCAGCAGAGGAAATGCTACGCTGCTCTTTACATATGCGTCTCCAAACCACTGCCTCCTATGAATTATGTTCTTAACAAATCTGCATTAGCATTAACAATAGGGGGGGCCAATGAAAGAAGTCATGTGACATTCAGCAAAGTGTCACATGAGTGGAGGTTAGAGTAAATAGGTTTATTAGGTGGGATTCTCTCACTGGGCTTTTTTCAGCAAGACCGTAACCAGTGTGATTTCCACAAACAGATGAGTTGAAGAAAGGTTATAGATATTTTACTATTTCAGGGTCTTGAGTGAGCGGCGACATCATTGTTGGCTACACCTACTGCATGCCACCTGAGGAAGAGGGTAAGGTTTGTTTTGCTGCTTATAATATACAATCGTTGCTGGTTGTGTTCCATTTCTCACCCGATGCACTAAACTGATTTATAGCAAACATCAGCAAATAAAACTCTCTTTACTGGCTTACAGTCTGCTTTACTATAGGACTTTATGGGCCTGCTTCGAAGCCATAATTTGTACTGCTTGTGAATACACTGTCTATGCAAAATACATTTTTAAGGCCTATCAGCAGTTTGACTCTAAATTATACCACTTTTTATAGTTGGGCGATTGTCTGACATCAATAACACATAGCTCTGTCAATGAAACCATTGAGTTATTATTAATTCATCATTATTGTTTTATATTGGAAGTGCTTCACTGCGTTTCAAAATTAGAGGTGACAGACTGAGTCCTGGGGAGTGGGCTTCCCTCCCACTGGGTTGGAGCTCCACTCCAGTTTCTAGGATGCGGTTTGGGGGGGGGAGAAGGACACCAAGAACAGAATGAGGAGGAGGGAGAGGAGGAGGGCGACAGAGACAGACAGATAGAGCGAGGAAGACAGACGGAGAGCCGACTGGGAGCATGTCAGGTTGCCTGGAGGGAGGTGTGATTCCCACGAGCAACAAAGTAGTCACCTCAAACGGTGTTTTAATGAGGCTGCATGGGGAGGATAAAAACAAATTATGACATTGATGTATTGGTATGTTGCTCAGCTCATTGCACAGCCTATTTTACTCTAAAAAGAACAGTTTATCAACAAATGAAGACTGCTTGGACTGGGGCATCAATTTACTAAACCCAGAGGGTGGCTCTTCAGGTACTGGAATCCATCATTTAATATTTTAGACATTTAGTCTGAGGAGTAACAACTTATAGAATGTGGCCTGTATAATAAACGGGATGTCACTCACCGCTAATGAGTGCTTTTTCAAGTGCTTCCAAATAGATTCCCAAGCTATATGTTGGGCACCCATACATAACCATGTAACTAATTGATGTCCCTTGCATTTTGTGGGTGCAGTGTAGCTTGAAATTACAAGTTTCTGGTTTTCCCCTCTTCGGTGCGTTCAACCTCAGCCTCTCTCTCTCCGTACTCGCGCACAGTCTCACAACACGTGGCTGCACGGTGCTGCCCGTTAACGCCTGCAGTTTAGTGAACGGGAAATGATACATGGCAGGTCGCTTACGCACCAAACCTTTCTCGTTCTGACACACACACACACACACACGCGCGCACGCGCACACACGCTCCATCCCCCCTCGTCCATCTGCGCTCGACACATTTACTCCGTCACGCATATCTTGAGTTCACCGCAACCTGTGACAGCGAGCAGAGGGCTTATTCATTTCGTTCCGCCGCGGATAACAAATGGCACACGACATCACACAAATCAAACGACTGGCTGAACGTCTAAACCAAGAGGATGTCTCTCCGTCACAAGTGTTTTATTGTGAAAGGTTTCCTGACACTTCTCTATAACTCCTGACCTGACCTTTATTTTAGGAGGACATATACGCACTTCGCTTTCTTTTTTAAGTTGTTTCCCCCCCCCAAAGCTGTGATATCTAACATTCCACAGTGAGGACACTCACATGGCCCAATAAGAGATAAAACATGTTATATGGAAACATTAAATTTAGTTCCGGTCACTCATGTTGCCAAATAATCACACATTAGCAAAATTATTTCCGTAAGTAAATGTGTAGATTTCTTCTTTTTGGTCAAGAGTTACACTCACCAATCAAGTCGTTCCCGGTTCGCGCGAAGTGTGTACCGGTTGGAAAGCTCCCTCTCACTTGAGACCGTCTCTGTGCGTCCCCCCTCTCTTTAACGTCTTCACTGTCTGTCCCCGTCACGGCTGCTGGAACGAGACACACATCTGGTCAGGTGCTGCGATCCAATGGGAACAAAACACCAATCCTCCATTTAGAAACTACTGCTGCTGAATCTCACGGGCGGCTCATGATAAACACTCCGTCCCACCTCTCCGTCACCAGCGTGTGTGAGGAGGAGGATGATGATGATGAGAGGGAAATAGAGGGCGCTTTACACTCACCCTCTCTCCTCCCAGTTGTTTCTCACCCGCTGCTCTCCAGGTTTGACACTCTGAAACACTTTGGGAAACAATATGAATCCTATTGTTGGCTTTAAAATGGTAAAACTACCTCAGTGATGGTAAATGACTTAGAAAAGTATAGGAAGATGCTCAGAAATGCACAAAGTACCTAAAGAGATAAGCTGCTTGCACTGTTTTCAGATATATATGTTTTGCCTCGATAGTCAAATTGGTAAGTTTTTGGTTCAGTGTTCATCACACGAGGATGTGGGTCTCCCATCAAGGTTATGGGTGTTTGTGTTTTTCAAAGGTCTCCTTTGGAGAATTCATATTTCATAAGTAGCTATCCAGACTTATCCATAATTCAGAATCGTCTGACTGGGGTTTAGGTGGGTGGGGCTGATGGGTGGTCACGGGCTGGACGGGACACCCTGGGGAGCTGTCACACCACCAGCCTGTGACAAAAACAAAACGCTCCGTGACCAAGAGATGATGGGCTTGTTGCCAGGGAAGACAGGGAATCCAACCCTGACTGCACACCAGCAGCCTGCTGACAGGCTTATGGAGACTGGGAGTGGCAGAGGGCACGCCGAAAGCTCCACGCTCAAATATCACCACCAAACCAGTTTATGTCCCTAAAAATACAGAACTACTGTTCATATTGATGCAAAGAAACCCCAAGACCTTCACAAGCTTAAATGATAACATACTTCAACTTTTTATTTTTTTCCAAATGAACACATCCAAACCCTGCAAACATAAACACAATCCAAGCAGTGCAGAGGCTCTCTGAACACAATCAGACTTCTGACTAGGAGACCAACGAGGTCGGTGCCACAATAAAACTATACGGAACTGGGTCAAGAAAAATAAAATGTGTGACGTACACCAAATACCAAATGTGCATCTCCAACCATACAAAAATACTCTTTTAGTGTATAAATTTCACGGAAAACCAATGAAGTGCATTTACTGAAAATAATAAAATATATATATATATATATATATATATATATATATATATATATATATA